GCGCGCTCTGTCGATGCCCGGGCGCCCTGCTGCTGGAACCACTGCTGGAACTGCTGCAGCACGAGCTCCTCCGGCGAGGCCACACCGCCCCTCGCGGCGCCCAGCTGCGGCGGGGCTGCCAGGGCGGGCGCCAACTCCTCGGCCCCCGCGCGCCCCGGCAGCAGCGGCACCGCCAGCCCGAGCAGCACCTGGAGGGGGCAAAGAGGTACAGTAGGGGCCCGACCACAAGAAGCCTTCCGCAGGAAACCCAGCCCTGAGACCCCAGGACGTCCCTCGATGTTTGGCGTGGGAGCGTCGCGCGCTCCATCGCAAAAGCATCGGAATCCGAAAAAAGCACAGGGCACCCTGGAGACAAGCAGGATGTTTCTTGGCATGGGCCTCCACTTTACGCACCGATGCCGCTGCTCCACGGACCTCCCCCTGGGCGCGCTCTGACCAGCACCTCGAGGCGCACCCAGCGGTGGCGACGAGGGCCCTCCAGGACCAGGGCATAGGTGCATCTCCGCCTCCCTTTCCTCCTCCTCCTCCTCCTCCTCCTCCTCCTCCTCCTCCTCCTCCTCCTCTTCCTTCTCCTTCTCCTTCTCCTTCTCCTTCTCCTTCTCCTCCCCTGGTATTTGCCGCCGAGTCCGCATCTCGGGCCATAACTTGGGTCTCCAGCGGCCGTTCGAGCCGACCCGGGCGACCCCGGAAAGCGCTAGGAGAGGCGCAGCCGCTGGAAGGCATACCGAGGCTGGGCAACCGCCGAGCACCGACGAACGCCTCCGACACCCCCGCGCTCTGGCCAGCTTCTCGAGGCGTCTCTCTCGGTGACGAAGGGCCCCCCAGAAACTCCAGGACCACGAGCGGCGGCATCGATGGATCTCCTCCCCCTCCGAGCGCCAGGCGGCGTGCCGCGACGCCCCGGGTCGGCGCGCCCGGCGAGCCTGGGGAAACCACCATGCACCAATACCGCTACCAGCCGCTGACCCTCTCCCAGGGTGCGTTCTGACCTGGACTCTTCGGGGCGAAGCCAGCGGTGGCGACGAGGGCCTCCAAGGAGGCCACCAGAATGGGAAAGCGGGCGCCTCGACCTCCAGCCGCCACACCGCAGGGGTAGAGGGTGGAGCAGGGGTGCGGAGGTCGTGTCCCTAGCACGAGCAGGAGATTGAGGAGTAGGGTGTTTTGGGACTACGAGCAGGGAAAGGAAGGGGAGAGTCCTTCACGTCGTGTCCCAGTAGAGTGTAGAGGAATGGGAGGAGAGGCGACCGATGAGGAGGAGGAGGAGGAGGAGGAGAAAGAGGAGGAGGAGGACGAGGAGGAGGAGGAGAAGGAGGAGGAGGGGGAGGAGGAGGAGGGGGAGTAGGAGGAGGCGGAGGGGAGGAGGAGGAGGAGGAGGAGGAGGAGAGGAGGGGCAGGAGGAGGAGAGTGGAGGAGGAGGAGGAAGAGGAGGAGGGGGTAGAGGTATGGGTACCTTTTCCTCCTCCGAGCGCCGCCTGGCGGCGCCGGCAGCGGCGCGAAGCCCAGGCACGCCGCGCCCCGCAGCGCCACCGCGGCGACCGCTAGCCCGAGCAGCAGAGCGCACCCCTGGCGACGCCGGGCGGCCCACCGCGCCCGCGCGGCGGCGCGGTGCCCGCTGCCGCTGGGCCCGTTTTTCCACACCACAGCAGACAAGTAAGGATAGGGGAAGGAAGGAGGAGGGAGGGGAGGAGAGGAGGAGGCGGCGGAGGAGGAGGGGAATGGGGTGCTCTACTCCTCCTCTTCGTTCTCCTCATCCTCCTCTCGTCCTCCACCTACTCCTCGTGCTCCTCTTCGTCCTCCTCCTCCTCGGGGGGGGGCCCCATCCTCCTCCTCCTCCTCCTCATCCTACTCCTCATCCTCCTCCCGCCTGCCTCCTCTCGCTGTCGCTGGTGCTGCGGGGGCCTGCTAGCATACGGCAGCCAAAACACTCTCCTCCTCCTCCCCCTCCTCTCCTCCTCCTCCTCCTCCTTCCTGTCCTCCTCATCACTCCTACTCCTCCTCCTCCTCTCCTCCCCTCCCCCTCCTCCTCCTCCTCCTCCTCCTCCTCCTCCTCCACCTTTTCGTCCTCCATCTCCTCTCCCCTTCCAACTCATGGTGGTGGTGGTGGAAAACAGGCCCGTCAGCTGCCGCTGGCCGCGGGCGCGCGGGCAGGGGCCGCGGGCCGGTGCCCGGCGCCGGGGGCCCCAGAGGAGGACATCGCCCCACGGCCGCGCCCTGGAGCTGCGGTGGCTGCTGCAGGGCGCAGTCAGCAGGGCTGGGCAGAAGCAAGGGTTCTCGCGTTCGTGTTTTGGTCTCGTGCTCTCTCGTGTGTGGTCGTCCTGCAGCCGCCCTGGCTGCAGGATGACGTCGCAACGAGAGCGGCCCACGAGATCGCCAGAACAGCGTTGAGGTCCACCCCTGAGACTCAGACTTTGGACGCCCGAAATGGGTACGGAAAGAATGGGTACAATGCCCAACAACAAGTGTTGTCCCAAACCAACAGCGGCCGCTGTTGGGCAGGCGGCCTTCTGTCTCGAATGGGCACAGGCCGCGGCGGCGTGGACAGCGAGTCCTGTTCAAAATGAATAAGATCCGCTGCTGGGCATTGTACCGATGCTTCTCCGTAGTGTGTGTTTTGCGTAGTGTTTTTACGTAGTGATTTGTTATGCGTAGTGTTTTTACGTAGTGCTTTTACGTAATGTTTATTTTTTTTCTGCGTAGTGTTTGTACGTAGTGTTTTTTATTTCACCTTTAAAATTTCTATTTCACCCTTAAAATTTTGATTTCACCATTAACCACAACCGTCAGGCAGACCTCCCAAGGGGTGCTTGTACCTTCTCAGGCCGGCGGGGTTGCCCCTCGAGCTCGGCGCCCGGGGCCCCTCCGCGGGCCACCTGCCGACGGATGCGGTGCGAAGAACTACCACTGTGGGAAGGTGTCGGGACCTCGAGCTGCTGGCTGCTGCAGGCGGCCAGCCCTGGGATCCTGGCGTCGCACTTTCGTCCGCGACGGGCGATTTAAACCACTCATGGCAGCAAGAACACACAAGACAAAATCTTGGAAGGCTCTGCGCCCCCCCCCCGCCCGCGTGTGTTTTCTTGTTGCTTTGTTTGCTTGCGTCGCTGTTTCCCAACCATCCCGTGGTGTTGGGTCCTCGTTTTGAAGAGACGGTCCCCGCGTTCCTCCGTCCTTCCTCCTCCTCCCCTCCCCCTCCTCATCCCGCCTCCCTCCTCCTCCTCCCTCCTCCTGCCTCTGCTCTCCGCAGGCCCATCCCATGTCGGCACGCCCCTCACACGCTTCGTGGCCCCACAGGGAGCCCCACCGGAGGCCCAAGTGGGAGAGTTCGCATGGCACCGCCGCCCCACTCCGGCACACCCCTCACACGTTTCGTGGCCCCATAGGGAGCCCCACCGGAGGCCCCTGTGGGCAAGTTCGAATGGCACCGCCGTCCCACTTCGGCACACCCCTCACATGTTTCGTGGCCCCATAGGGAGCCCCATCGAAGGCCCCTGTGGGCAAGTTCGCATGACACCGCCGACCTGTTTCGGCACACCCCTCACATGTTTCGTGGCCCCATAGGGAGCCCCACCTAAGGCCCCAGTCGGAAAGTTCACATGGCACCGCCGCCCCATTTCGGCACACCCCTCACACGTTTCGTGGCCCCATAGGGAGCTACACCGAAGGCCCCAGTGGGAAAGTTCGCAGGCGTCATCCCGACTCATGTCGGCGCACCCTTCACACGTTTCGTGGCAGAAGGCGATACCGCGTGCGCAACTCGGAGTTTGCGCGCTCCCCTTCTTCTTCTCATCTCCCTCGCGGCACTCGCAGCTGCACATGGTTGGGTCCTTCGTCAGACGAATTTCCGATTGCTTTATGAATGCCGCTCACCGAAAGAACTCTGATTGGGAGGACAAGAGGGAAAAGACTGAAGAAAACGGAGGAGGAAGAGAACATAGAGAGATTGAGAGAGCGAGAGAGACAGAGAGAGAGAGAGAGAACAACACATGTAAGACGGCCAACGAGAAAGAGAGAGGGAGAGGATAGAAGAGGAGAAACGTGAAGTGGGACGGATTTGATTTGTATGTTTTACGCCCGATGTGTCACGAAGAACAAGACACGATAGTGTAAGAACGGCTTGTGCATCTGAGTAGCGAGCGGCGCGGAATCACACCATGGATCGGTGTAGGAAGATAGGGGACGAAGAGGGAGCAGGAGAAACTGGAGGAATATGCGAGGATGGGGCTGAAGAGAATTGGCAGGGGGGAAAATGGAATGATGACGAGGGAAGGGTGAGGAGAGGAAGGATTATGAGGTTCAAGAGGAGGAGCATCGAATGTGTAATCGGCGAATCGCCGCTGCACCCTGCCTTCGAGTAAGAGGTCCAGCTGCCAAATGCCGTGGAGGTGCAACGCACTTTTGGCAGATGGGTGACGTACCTCTCACTGTGCTGCGGCTGAATATGAAAAGGCATGTTCGTTGCCGACCTGACGGGTGCCTTGGGCCTCTTCGGTGCCTTGGCGCACCCGAGCGTACCTGGCCCGGGCGCGGGAGGCCCCGGGCCCCGACCGGCGAGGAGAGGACGAGGAGGAGGGGGAGGAGGAGGAGGAGGAGGAGGAGGAGGAGGAGGAGGAGGAGGAGGAGGAGGAGGAGGAGGAGGGGGAGGATGAGGAGGAGGAGGAGGAGACTGTTGGGGGCACCCCGGCGCCCCATCGGGCTGTCCTGGAGACCTATTTCGCCGTCATGGGGCCTTCTTGGGCCGTGCGGGGCCCCTCGAGGGTGTGTTCGGGCTCGCGGATGCAGCCTTGGAATCCTCTTCGCGACCCCTTGTGATGGGCCTGTTCCCCACCACCACCACCACCATATGTTGGAGGGGGTAGGAGGAGGACGACGAGGAGGAAGAGGACGAAGAGGAGGAGGAAAAGGAGGAGGAGGAGGAGGAGGATCCGCTCCCCCTCCAACTTATGGTGGTGGTGGTGGAAAACAGGCCCATCATCCTGAGCCGTCTGGGCCGTTCGGGGAACTCCCTGGGCAGTGTTTTTTTTTCCCCAAGGAACAGACCTGCACCGACAGGTCTGGGCCAGGGGATCGCTCCGGTCGCCCCCCAGGGGGAGCCTCTCTGGAAAACAAGCTACTCGTGAGACAGACCGCTCGGTGTACCGAGGCGGCACAGCAGCAGCGAACGAAAAAAGCAGGACCTGCTGAGAGCCAGAGGGGAAGATCACACAAGTCGGCCAACGCCGCAACTTCGGTGCCCAGGCTCAGAGCTCCCAGGCAGGTACCCAGGAAAGACCACTCATCTGTGCCGCATCGAGGCAGCACCGCAATGGCGGAATAAAACAAAAAAAGACCCCATGGGAACACCAAGACAGAGCAGCAGCAGCAGGCCAACGCCGATACTAACAGTGCCCAGACTCAGAGCTCCCAGGTAGGGTCCCAACCATCTGTTGGCGATGTGTACGACAATCATGCGACCATTGCTGACCATTGCCCCTTCACCACCGCAACCACCACTGATACTCGTGGTGCACATCGCCTCGTCTGAGACCGAACGTGCGTGGTAACATACGTGCTGCGACCTTCCCGTAGGCACACCTCCTACAGTCAGAAGCCTGCCGCGTTCCAGGGCGCGCCGGGGTGATACTACTACGATCATATAACATAACAAGCGTGCCCCGATGCGCGAGGCCAGTACGCATCTGGACAGCGAGGCGCGGCACCGGCGGCGGTCGCCCGAGGAGCCGTGCTCCAGGCCCTCCGACGGCGCAGCGCCCCGCGCCTCGCGCCGCGGGCCCGAGGTCGCGCGGGGGAGCCCAGCGGGCGCAGCCCTGCTCAGTGCCGCCTGCCGCGGTGCCACGAGCCCTGCTCCTGCTGCTGCGCCCCCGCCCCGCGCCTGCTGCCCTCCCCGCCGCGGCCCCGCCGCGGCTGCCTCCGGGGCCTGCCGGCCCCGGAGGCCTCCGGGCCCTCCTTGCGCCGGTCGGACACGAAGTGCGGGCGGTGCGAGTTCACCCGCGCGCACTGCACCGCCGTCTTGCTGTAGTACTCCAGGTTCTTCTCGAGGCCCTGGATGTGGGCCACCGAGATCTGGGCCACCTTCCGGGAGCCGTGCTCGAAGCGGTCAAACGTGTAGTCCGCCACGTCCGTCACGCACCGCCTGGCCGCCTCTGGCGTCTTGAAATTTACAAACGCATACCCAACGTTCCACTGGGTGCTCTTGTCGATCGGCAGGTAGATGAAGTCGTAGTCTCCTTCGAAGCCCAGGCCGTCCAGCTCCTCGATGAGCATGCTCCGCGTGTACACGTTGGGTATGTTGCGGACCATCAGCGTGGTCACGCCGTCCTCCCCCGTCTCCCCTGCAAACCTGTCGGCTACACGCAAGAGTGACCCTGGGTAAGAGTGACCTCTGGTGCGCGTCTTTTTGGGGGGCCGCGGGGGGGCCCAAACCTGGGCGCGCAAGCCGCTGCTCCTGCTTCGTTTTCAGCCATCTGGGGACCCATCTGTGCCCGCACCAAAGGCCACTCCTCCCCCTGCTCTTCCTCCTCCTCCTCCTCCTCCTCCTCCTCCTCCTCCTCCTCCTCCTCAAAAGATCACTCTTACGTCAAGTCGAACCTGGCCATGTCCGTGTTCTTGGGGACGTTGCTGTGGCTGAGCTTGTGGGCGCCCTTGCCGCTCTCCCCGTCCTCGCTCTCCCTGCCGGCCTCCCCGGCCTCCTCCGCGGCGGACTTCTCGCTCTCCCCCTGCGAGTCGTAGGCGTCCTCGCCCTCGTCGGTGCTGTCGGCCGCGCTGCCGCTGCGGAGGCCCTTGCTGCCCTCGTCGCCGGCAGGGCAGCAGTAGCCCCACGCCTGCTCGGGGGCCCAGCAGTCCGCGACGCCGAACGCGACGTTCGGGTCGATGCTCCACCCGCTGCTAGCTTGCTGCTCCGCCGCGGCGGCCTCGATCGGAACCACCATGAAGCACTGGGCGCCATCCTGAACGCCGTAAGGGTGCGAGGGCACACCATACAACATCGGCATCCCTGGCCACGCCCCCGCAGCGACCTGTGCGTCGGCCTGCTCCTGGTAGGGATTGGGCAGCCACGCGTCCTCCTCCTCGTCGATGGCCCGAAAGCTCGCCTCGTAGCAAGCCGGGGCCCCTGCGCATGCAGAATCAAGGATGGTCGAGCTCATCTTGGTATGTTATAATATGCACGAAGGTCTCAGACCTGAGAGGGTGATGGATGCAAAACAACACGTTGAGACTATATGTCTTGAACCAACATGGCCACAGAGGGATTTCCCTAGGCAGTCCCTGGGCAGTCTTGGGATCAGCTGGGTGACCTCACGGGGCTCTCCAGGGTGGTCTTGGGGCGATCTTGGGGGTGTATCAGGCCGTCTTGGACCTGTTGCGAGACTTCGAGACAATCAACAAGTTAGTCTTCCTGGGGCCTCGTGGGGGCTCTGTTGGACTGCTCTTGGGTCTTCTCGGGGGCCTCTGGCACAGTCTTAGAGCCTTCTTTGGCTACGTCTGGGTCCCCTCGGGCCGCCAGGTGGGCATCATGGGCCGTCTGCGGGCGGTCTGAAGCTGTCGGGGGGGGGGAGGGATTTCATGTTGCTCGTTGTTGTTCCTGCTTCGTCGTCGGGTGCCTCTGGGCTCCCTCGTGAGAGACTTGGGGACCTCACGGGTCGTCTTGGAGCTCCCCTGCGTCGTTCGGCGCCTCCCGCGTGCCCTCGACGACGGTCTCCGAACTCCCTGGGGCTGGCGGAGGAGAGGCTGCCCCCCTATCATGCCACTTTGGCGGCGCGCACAAGGGGGGTGGAGGGAGAGAGGAGGGCTTCGTAGGAGGAGGCTGCTTTTTGGAAGGCGCCAGCCTTACATCTATAGGTAGGGCCCGCGCCTTCGAACAGCCAGGGGTGCTTCTAAGGAGCCTTCCCCCCTCCCCCTGCCCCCCTCTGCGCGTGGCCGCAACTTGCCAATCCCTCTATATATCTATTCGTCTTTGGGCTGGGTGGGGCCATCTAAGAGCCATCTCGTCTGGGTTCTTGTGGGTCATGTCCGGGCCCTGTGAAGCCGCCCTTCGGCCCTCTTTTGGGCCTCTTGGGTCACCTCTTGGGCCGTCTTGGGCACATCTTGGGTCACCTCTGGGTCATCTTGGACACCTCTTGGGCCATGTTGGGCTGCCAGGAGCCCCACAATATGATAGCTCGAGAATGTTTCCCACAACGTGTGTGAACTACATGAGTTGTGTTTCGTGGGGCTCTCCTGGAGAACTGTTCGCCCGTGCTTAGGCCTCTTGGGCGCCGTTGACGCCGAATTCCTTGAGCCGGAACGAAATGGGTTGTCTTGAACCATATTGCGCGTGATTGAAGCTATCTGGGGCCGTATCCAAGCCATCTTGGGCAATCAAGGGGCCGTTTTGGTTTGCTTCTTGGGTTGTCGTGGGGCCCTCATGGGGCCCTCTTGGGGCATCTTTGGGTCATCTTGGAGGCCTGCTGGGCCATCGTGGGCAGCGAGGCGCCCGAAAGAGCAAGAACGCCAAGATCTTTCGAAACGTGCAGAAAGTGTACGATGTGTGTGTGTTCAGGCCTCCTAGATGGGGTCGGAGTAGATGGGATCGGAGGATCGCGCCGCATCGGCCATGCATCGTCGATGCATCGACGACGCATCGGCGATGCAACGGCGACGCCGGCGTAGAAAAAATCGGCCTCCGCATCAAACCGCATGGGCGATGCATCGGCGATGCGGCGCGATCAACCGACCCCATTTATTTGAACCCCATCTGAAAGGTCTTTTTCTCAGGGGAGAACTTCCCCTGACCTCCGACGTCATGATCTTTTTCACTACGTCCACCCACAGAGTTCTCTTCTTGACCCAGTCCCCAGGACCCGTTTCTCATCCTGAGTCGTTCTTTGACGGCCCCGAGGCCCAGTAAGGGCCCCCGGAGGCCGAAAATTTGGAAAAACCTCGCGTCATGATTTCTTCATTGCTCGAGAGTGTTTGCGTGTACGCATTTTTCGGGCGTTGGCATAACTGGGTTTAGTGGGACCTGGTTTGGTGATGTGTACTGGGGGGCGCCCCCCAGGCCCCGTTCCACTAACCGGAACTGCCGCCAGCCGAAAAACACCAGCTGCCTCAGTGACTCTGGCCAACTTAGGGGCTCCGGGGCCCTACCACTGACCGGGTCCCCTTACCTGGGGCTCGGGCTATACCAGACTTTTTCTCCGGGGAGGACTTCCCCCGCCAGGATCGGGGAAACCGAAAGGGGGGGATGGCAGGGTCGAGAATCAGCCCACGCAGCTGATTCTCACAGCGCCTCCCGGTGCCGGGAGGCGCCCGTGTGTCGAGGAACGGGCCCAGCCTCGGGGCCGAAACCAGCTGCATGCAGCAGATTTCGTGTGACCCCCCCCCTTTCCCTACCCCCCATTTCGTCCGGCCCGCCAGGACCACTCCGCGGCACTTTGGACGCCCGAAATGGGTACGGAAAGAATGGGTACAATGCCCAACAACAAGTGTTGTCCCAAACCAACAGCGGCCGCTGTTGGGCAGGCGGCCTTCTGTCTCGAATGGACACAGGCCGCGGCGGCGTGAACAGCGAGTCCTGCTCAAAATGCGCAGGAACTGCTGTTGGGCATTGTACCCATTCTTGCCGTGCCCACTTCGGGCGTCCAGACCTTACCCTATCCTTTGTGGGCCCCGGAAACGACAGGGCCGTTTTGTCACCGCTTCCCAAAAAAATGTCCCTTGAAAATGGAAACGGTAAAACAACGGCGACCGGAAACTAGGACGGGAAGAATCTATTGACACACCGTGTTATTGATACGTTCCGGAGATTCCGGGATTTCTAACAGCCTTCGCGCGGGGTGCACCTTGCGTCGAGTATGAGTGGTCGCCCGTAAGGGGCTATTTGGCAGTTGCTGACCCCCTTTCTCGTTGCCGAGCGCGGGGGGGACGGTGGCGCACCGTCGTATTGCCCGCCGCCGCGCGCCGCGCGCCTCGGCGGATTTCCAAAGACCTGGCAAGGCAAAACATCCTCGACCCTGGACATTTCTCCGAGGGTAAATTTGAACAGATCTGGGGGGCATTTTCGAACATGTCCGCCCTACTTTTTGAAACGTACCAGATACGTTTTTGAAAGTTTCCGGGATCGATTTTGAAAAATTCCGGAATCCATTTTGAAAAATTCCGGATTTCAGAAGTCTTCAAATGTCCTGCGCGGCGGGCGCATTCCACCCCTCAAAACTCGTTTTTTTGAAAATTTCCGGGCTCCTTCTTGAAAAATTCCGGAACCGCTTGCGCGGGAAAAAGCGGAAGCGTTTTCTGACGCATTCTACAATCCAGAAATCATGTCCGGGCGGTCCGACGGGCGCGGCCGGCTGGTTCACGCGCCGCGCCGCGCGCGATTGGGCGCAGCGCGCGCCGCGCGTTGCGCCCGCGAACAGCACTCGAAGGGGCTACCTCGAAAACAGCGCCACGGCAACTGCGACTCGCGGACTCCCCAAGAGTAACACAGCATGCAGCTTGGAATCGTCGAGGGCGCTCCGATGCGCGAAAAACGCACTGCGAACATCACGCAAAGAACCTGCGCGACGGAATGCGCTCGACCATTCGTCCCTGGAGCCAGCGCGGAAGAACAGGAAAACCTGGAAATCTGGAAAACTATCAATATCAATACTTCATGCTCCTCTGAGAAATGGCAAAAAAACGGCTCCAGGATTGGAACCGGAGCCGGAACCGGCCACAAAACGGCGACGGAGCCGGTAAAACAACGGCAAAACGGAACCGGCAACAAACAACGGCAAAACGGAACCGGTATAAAAAAACGGCCTTGTCGTTTCCAGGGCCCACGAAGTCCCTATCCCCCCAGTTCGTTCGGCCCGCCAGGACCACTCCGCGGCACGCAGGCCGCGCGGGCGCTCGCGGTGGGCGCCCCCGTCCAGCCCGCACGGGGGTCCCTCACGCTCTGCCTGCGACTGCGCTCGCCCCGGAGGCTGGAGGTCCTCCTGCTGCTTACCTCCTTCTCCTTCCCCTCCTCCTCCTCCTCCTCCTCCTCCTCCTCCTCCCCTTTTTCTTCCTCCTCCTCATCCTCCTCCTCCTCCTCCTCCTCCTCCTCCTTTGCTTCTTCCTCCTCGTCCTCCTCCTCCTCTTGTTCTTCTTCCTCCCCCTCCTCCTCTTTTTCTTCTTCTGCCTCCTCCTCCTTCTCCTCCTCCTTTTCCTGGCGGCGGGGCGCCTCGCGCACCAGCGGAACGGTAACTCTGGGGGTTGCGGGCCCAGGGGGTGAGACATCGACCTGGAATCGACGACACATCGCCGATTGATCGGCGACGGAACCCCGACAAATCCGCACGCTCCTGGGCTGGCCGTCCGGCCCTGTCGTTGATCAGTGGGCGCGTGGGGGTCGATGCACGATGCACCCCCCCTGAGCCTGTCCCACCCCAACGTCGCCCCTGAACTCAGAAGCGCGCCGCCGCCGGCGCTCTGGGCGGCCAGGGCGCGCATGCGGCGCCGGGCGCGCTGACCGCCGGGTAGCTGGCCTCTGAATATCGTTCCACCGATCCCTATCCCCCCTGGCGTGGCCTTGGCCCCACTGGCTAACTTTCGCCCTGGATGGGGGTCATATACGCCTGCCCCGTCGGGTTTCGAAGAGAGCATCCCCATCTGGGGGGTGGGATGGTGGGGCCGATGGCCCTGTGCGTGCGGGGATCGGTTCCCAGGCCCCAGACGTCATATTTGTTTCATAACGTTGCCCCCCAAAGGTCTCGACCCACTCCCCGGGACCAGCTTTTCATCACGAGTCGTTGTGACAGTCGAGGGGCCCCGCGAGGGCCCCGAGATGCCGAAAACAATCGAAAACCCTCGGTCGTGATTCGGCGGTGGGAAAACCTCCCTTTAGTGAACCACCCTGTAGTGAAAACGACCTAGGACCGAAACCGACGGACCTGGACCCTCACAAATGACGGCCGCGACGCCCTCTCGCGAACCGGAACGAAAACGGCCAATTCGCTAATCGACGTGTCAGGGTAGGAAGTCAATCCACCTCCGAATGATTTTCAGACAACCCGAGGGGGTCTGGGCTCGACAACTCTGAGCCTCGCCCATCGGGGGCGGCGCCAAGGAGGCGGTGACCCCAGCGGGCCAGGCTCTGCCAGGGGGGCCAGCGCACCGCGCGGAACTCCGAACATTTCTGTTTACGCCGCGTCTGTTTTTCGGGCAATCCTTAAATGGTGGGGCGATAAATGGGAGGGCAAGAAAGGTGCACCTTTCGTGCATCTTTCG